ACAGTGTGAACCGGACTCATAGCGACAGTAATGACAGACACATTAACTCTGATCGTGGCGACAGTATGGACAGACCATAAACTCTGATCGTGGCGACAGTATGAACAGACACATAAACTCTGATCGTGGCGACAGTATGACAGACACATAAACACTGATCATAGCAAAAGTATCACAGACACATTAACACTGATCGTGGCGAAAGACAGACACGTACACACGAAGCGTGAGCGTGAAGAGTTCCGATTCACGCCGAGGCTGAGGAAACGACCTAATTTTTTTACTACCATAATATGTTATTAGCTCGACTGCGCAGCAAGCTGTCACATTCCCTTCTGATAACCGCATTGCATTCCATAATCCGTCCAGCGGAGAAAGTGATAAATTACAAAGTTGCCAGCGCGCTAAGTCGCTGCTAAAGAGACCAAAGCTCATCTAAGCCCTTCCCGGTCCAGTGCTGGGCATCGAATGGTCTGCAGGTAGCACATAGAGTCACGCATCGACCCTGGCTCGGTGACCGAGGCCCGCACCTCGTCGGCGCCGACTCGGATGTGGTTCGGTGACCCGGTGCCCTGTGACCGGCTAGGGGACGCGGCTCACCTTTGGTGCCCGGTATACCAGGGAAGCCGGGCGGGCCGATCGGGCCGGCGGTGCCCGGTGCGCCGGGAGATCCCTGCCAAAAGAGCTCAGAGTCGGAGGGGGTCGCTGGAGCCGTGCTGACCGCTCGGCCACAGCTCTGACGGGCACTTGGCCCAGAGATGTGAACAGGGCAGGGGGGACGCTCGGCGGACATCTCTGCTAGGGGCTGAGAGGCCAAGGCACGAAATGCGAATGTAGAGTGCACAAAAAAACTTTTCGGCCCCATGTGCAAAATCGACAAGACTGTTTGAGGGCTGCTTTTGACAATTGCTACTCATCATAACTGATCAGCAGTGCGTACATACAAGGGCGTCCTCTTGAGCGGCAGAACAAGCGCACTTATGTCGCAGATTGCTTGCGCATAGTTCCACATGTTGGTCAAATGGAGCTGTATACAGGTGCGGCATACACACTAGGACCGGTATTGGTTTTGGGAACGTTCAAGTACGACTGCATGCGCTAATAAAACAGTTTTTCGAGTATTCACTGACATCGTGTTTGTTCAGACTTTAAGCTATAAGGAATATCCAAACCTTGTTAACTATAAGGTGAATGCGACGAGAAGAAACCTTAGGCTTTGGAACACAAAATAGACATCACAACGGTGGAGGTTTTCAACTAGAGCTAATGCAGAACAAAGGTAAAAATAAAACGAACGCTTGTGCAGTATGGGCTTCAGGTCACTGCGTTATAATGCTATGACACGCCTCTACGCTGTAAAGTGGTACGCAGCTGATGAAGGCATCGGGCTGCCAAAGGGCCCATGCTGAGGAAAAGGCTGCGGCAACAACCGCATGCCGTGGAGGCCGAGCGGCTGACACGAGTGGGCCGGGCGGCGCGGGCTGGGTGCTCACGTCAGTGCCGTTGCAGCCGTCCAGTCCGGGGAACCCGCGCGGTCCGGCGGGACCCGGCAGGCCCGGGATACCGTTGATGCCGGGGAAGCCCGGCATGCCCATCTTGCCCTGCGGGTAGGTCAGGTGCGTTACCGCCCCGCTGCCCGGACTCAAGCGACTGCCGACGACAGGCCGGACCTCATCGGGCGTTACACCGCTCTCTGAGGGAAGGTCCAGCCAGGGCCTGGCGAGGCCCGGCACGTCTTACACTGCGTGCTAAACATGGATGCGTGCATGAACTGGGCATCCTGCCCGTGTATAAGGTACAACTAAACATCGTCCGGCATCAAATGGATGGATGAAATGGTGAAAGCATACTAAAAGCCACTAGTTCCATTCCTCAGCATGGCTTGCACTCCTGCGACTCTCTTAATCGGAAGTTAAACCAGACCTTAAAGTCCAAAGAAGCCGACCCCGCGCGCTCTCCCGCTGTCTCTCACCCGGTCTCCGACCAGGCCTCTGGGCCCCTGCGGACCGCCGTCGCCCTTCAGGCCCTTCGGTCCGGGCAGGCCCTCCATGCCGGGGAAGCCCTGCTGGCCTTTGACGCCAGCCGGTCCCTGGGAGCCAGGGGCGCCCTGAGGGCGCAAGAATCGGTCAGAGGTCAGCGGGGTCACGGCAGGCAGCGTGACCGGCGCACTCACTTTGAAGCAAGTGTCGAGATCGGTTGCCGGAGGCGCAGCGGTATGCGAAGGCGGTACATTGGCGGCCGGAGCGACCGTCTTTTATACTGCTCGAGGCCTGAGAATAGCCGCAGGCACACGACACACATGGCACGGCACTCCACAACGCGGTACTTCGGCACACGTTGGCGCTAGGTGAGGTGTGTTGGAGCCCCTCCGGAAGGTACGAGTCAACCACGTTCCGAAGATGTGTGACATCACACCCTGTATCCAAACTCAAATCCAACCAATGACGTGTCGTCAGGACGGGCCACCCGCCCGTTCCCAAAACGTTCACCTGTACCGATGTTCCTGCATACGTTGACAGATGCGTCCTTGAGCAAGCATGCTGTCATACAATCCTTGCGCAGCACCGCACTGGTGGCTCGGCTGGGCACAACAACAACCCATTTGCGACGCAAGTGAACCAGCGACCTCTGTTGCCAAACAGCTTACGGCCACAACCAGCCGCGACGCAGCCCGTCCATCGCGCGATGCCCGGAGTACATTACAGCTTACCGGTCACAACCAGCCGCGATGCAGCCCATCCGTCGCACGATGCATCGGAGTGCAATACAGCTTACCGGTCACAACCAGCCGCGATGCAGCCCGTCCATCGCGCGATGCCCGGAGTACATACAGCTTACCGGTCACAACCAGCCGCGATGCAGCCCGTCCGTCGCACGATGCATCGGAGTACATAACAGCTTACCGGTCACAACCAGCCGCGACGCAGCCCATCCGTCGCACGATGCACTGGAGTACATAACAGCTTACCGGTCACAACCAGCCGCGATGCAGCCCGTCCATCGCGCGATGCACCGGAGCACATAACAGCTTACCGGTCACAACCAGCCGCGATGCAGCCCGTCCATCGCGCGATGCACCGGAGCACATAACAGCTTACCGGTCACAACCAGCCGCGATGCAGCCCGTCCATCGCGCGATGCACCGGAGTACATTACAGCTTACCGGTCACAACCAGCCGCGATGCAGCCCGTCCATCGCGCGATGCATCGGAGTACATCACAGCTTGCCGGTCACAACCGGCCGCGATGCAGCCCGTCCATCGCGCGATGCACGGAGTACAAGCTTGCCGGTCACAACCGGCCGCGATGCAGCCCGTCCGTCGCGCGATGCACCGGAGTACATAACAGCTGCATACTTCACCCCTGGCATAGCGCACGGTGCGTCACTGAACTGAACGACGTCACTGAACGCCTCCGCCCCCACATTGCGTCGCGCGCCTTCCTACTGCACCCTCAGCCCGGCACTTACCCTGCTGCCCTTTTCGCCGACGCATTTGCAGCCACCGGCGCCGCAGCCGCCGGCGCCACACTTCTGCGCGGCGCCCGGCGGCCGTGGCTCTACGTCCGTCTGGCCGTCGCGGGTCTGGTAGAAGCCATAGCCGAAGTTGTCGCCCCGGCCGTCCACCGGCGCTGGCCGCGAGTAATCGACCTGCTGAAAACGCAGAGGACGGCGTCCGGTCAGTGGACGGTGCAGATGGGCACACGGATGCTGGCGGGCCCCCGGCGGACACGGACGGTTGGACACTGGAGTCCCTGATGCAGTTGCGCAGATCTGCACATGAGTCTCGGATGGACACGGACGGATAGGAAAACCCTGATCCCCCTCGGCAGAACACTGCGGACGGTTTCACTGCTTGCTATGTGAGAACTGGAGCCCCCCATGTCGGGCCGGGGTTATTAATACTTCGTGTATGTGTGATGATGATGATGATTGGAGTTTGAGAGCGTGCCGACTGCGCTGGCCATTTCGCGCCCGGGGCGCTGCTGAACGGAGAAGCATCTGTCTTCACGCCCCAACAACAACACGCCCGACCAATATCCAGCGGGCAACGAACGGCAACACGTCGAAGCGGACTACGGTCGCCGCGGGAACACACGGCCCCATCAGCCGGCGCCGAGCGAACTCCAATCCCGCCGTCAGCAGCCGTTCACAACACGCCGACGCCCATCAGAGAGGCCGGCGTCTGGCCGCAGTCCAGTCTGTCGGTCCGGCGCCGGGCCGCCGGCAGCGGACGGCCGAGCCGCGCCCGGCGGCCGCCGCCGGCCTGTCCTGCTGCACGCCCCCCCCGCCCCCTGCTGACGAGCCGCAGCTGGCGGCTGCCCGAGCGCAGCCGCCCACGCGGGCCGCTGCGCTCGGCGGCAGTCGTCCGGCACGACCGCGACGCCGTCACCGCCGGCGGTTCCCCCCACCCCCCCCCCCCCCCCCCCCACCCCCACCGCCCTGCCTCCCCCGCCGCCGGCGAAGGCGGCCTCTTTGAGTACGCAAGGATGGGACGACCAGTCGCGCAACATTAATGTGGTATGTGCGCGCGCGCGTGTGTATGTCGAAATTGCCGATGCTGCAGCCTCCCTTACCTTACATTTTAGCAAGGCCGTATAAATCTTGTGAACAGCAAGGTAACAAATAGGGTTGTTTACCCGTTATCAGTGCGACGACTTTAACTTTTTGTGTTACACGGCCTTCTTCAGCATGTACAGCAACGGTTTTAAGGTGCATAAATGTGCGTAGCAATGGGTAGTTCAAACCCGGCGTTTGAAACATATTGTCCAGCTTTCCGAGGGCTTGATTAAGGACCTGGGGTTTTCAGTTTCATTTGTTGTGCAGCCAACGTCCTACGGCGGCGCAGGTGCCGTACTTCGCTTTGTGAATCCAGTCACGAACCCACGGTTATTTTCTGCCAGTTTGCACGGGCCAAACTAAACCAACAGCCTCCCACCGACTATACCCAGGGACTCGCCAACGGCTGCCGTCGAGGCGGTAGGAACAACAAGCTCGTGCTTAAGCCGCTCATGTGCCGGACACCGGCGGCGAGGGCCCGGGGCGTCCGGCAGGCTCTGGGGCGCAGATGAAAGCTGCAGCGGAATCAGGTCACGCCGGCGAGTTTTGTTATGCTAACGAGCGATGTCTCGGCGTCAGTTTGCGCGATGCAGACTGGGGAGCGCGCTGGTAGTGTGCAGAGTCGCTGACCTCCAGCGTGGTCCGCTCTGGCTGTAACGGGTGGGCTCGAGTGAAGCTTCATGAGGAGGAATGCGGCTCTAAGTAAACGTAAAGCTCGTTGCTTGTTTAACAACTGGCGCCGACGCTCGGTGTTGGCAGCATAGCTTGTCTTCGCAGTCAAAAATGTGCAAAACTCCTCGCTAGATGCGCTGCGAAAAAGTAGGACGTTACGCACTTTCATGGACTCGAAGGTACCATCTGGCCCGCGACGCGTGCGTATGTATATAGTTTATTACAGACTGCCTCTGGCATGCCACCGCTGGGCAGATACCGTCTCTGACACACGAACTTGTTATCCTTTGGACGCACCGTGACGGCCGGCGCGCTTATCTCATACAAACACTAAGTGGGCCGGGTTTTAGTTCGCTTCTCTGCGATGTGTCAAGGGGCGCTGCCTTGAATTTGACAGCGTTTCTCATAAACAGTGAAATCGCGCGGGAGCGAACGTGCCGATTTCTGGGAACTCGTCGTTAGTGGTCCATGGCCAGCTGAGCTTTCGCGCTGCGGCTCACCTACACACATCGTCAACGTGTGACAATGCAGAGACGGGGCGACTGTTCCATCCTTTAAAGATAAGACGAGGATAACAACTGGCGGCCCAAAGAAGCAGTGACAGTGAATCTTCTGAAACTAAGGGATGAGGGGAGGTGAGCAAAATTTTCACCTCAACTCTTTCCGTACAACGCCATAGATTTTAAGCCATTTTTCAATGATCAGGCAGCTGTCCCCACATCCCTCTCGTTTTCGCTGTCCATGCAAAAGTGGTCCCTGCAAACAGTGCTGCATTTCTTTGGAACCAATCGGTTTGACGCTTTGTACAATCGACAGTACGACAAATCCACCACTGCCAACTTCAATACCGCCAGGCATCCCACCAGTTCGCTGCGCCAAGCACAACACGTCAGCAAGGCAAATCATTATGCACGCCAAACGTAAACAGGCCGCCTCTCGAAAGCCGTTTTTCCGTTCGGTCTGACGGCATCGCCTTTCTAAGAATATCCTACCCAAGACGCACCGCGGCAGACACCCACAAGCGTCCCCCGACCGGCGTCCAAAGGCTGAGATCACCGTGGGCCAGAGCTCCCCCGGCGCCAGAGGTTACTCATCACACCTGCGGCTGTCCGGGTCATTTCCTGGCCGGCGGCGGCGGCGCGGCGTTCCCGGCGCCCCCGGACGCTGCGGCCCGTTGCGTCAGCGGACGCGCGGTCCGGGCGCCAGTGGACACGGACCCGGACGGCGGTGGTCTGCGGTCCGGACGCCGGCGGGCGGCGCCCGGTCGCCGACCACCGCCTCCAGAATGTAAACAATGCCGGTGTCAGGTGTCGCTCGCAGTGGCGTGGAGGATTCCGACCCTGCTCTGTGGGCCAGCAGCTGTCACGGCGGCCGACGGCCAGGCGCTAGCCGCTTGCCAGTCTCCGCCCCAGCATACGAACTCGTCCGGCCGACAGCTGCTGCTCGCGGGACTCGGGCCAGAGCGTGGATAGCTTCAAACTTTGTCAGTGGAGTGACGTTATTTCTTTGGAAGGCAGAAGCGTCTGCACGTTTTGCCGAGTAAATATTTACATGCATAAGACGTGTTTTCTTGAAGCACGTTCCAAATTTAGGCGTCATTCTCTATGCACCGGAAAAGTGTTGTCCGTATACGATAACGCGACGTAGGACAGTGGGTTCGGAATGATCCGACGAATCAACTGGCGATCAACGCGTAGTTCAGAAACATAGCCAAACGCAGTTCCACATATCGATGCGTACAGCGTGCCTTCAGCGTTGCAATAGGCACGTGTGCACAGCGTGTACGTGAGCTACGCACAAGGAGCGAGGAACAGGTGGCGGGGATGGAGCAGCAGAGTCAGGAGGCCGCCCGCCTCACAGCCACGTGTGGTCGTGTCTCAGCGTCGGCCAAGGCTCATCCCACACCTTATAAGGAGATGTGAAAGATGTCAACGCCAAATGACCTTAGATGCTGAATGCATCATTTCACATGAAAAAATAGCATGACTGTTATTAAAAAGCGGGTAGCATGGTGGTTATTGGAGGAGGAAGGGTGGCGTTCAGTCGGCATTTTGGGAGCATCCCACAGCCATCAAATCTGGACACATCACGACATCGCAAGTTCATAACTCCGGTGGCCAATGTCTCTGCATGCTCTCTGTTCATGGGCATCGCGATTGCATACTTTTGGCGACGATTTTGTTCCAATTGGTCCAGTTCTCCACCACTGTAACACCAGCCGGAAGCGCAAGCTGTGCTGGCGGCCAAAACAACGCCGGAGCTGTTTTCTGAGCACAGTATCGGTGACTTCACGCCACCGCAGCGTCGCCCTGTTGACAAGCTGCGTGTTTGCGTGCTGACGGGGACACTGCACTGCGCAGCTGGGCCCAGTCAGCTGACTGCGCCGCTCAGCTGGCGGGGGCGGCACGCGCACTGCGCCTCAGCGCCGGCGGTCGGACGGGCGGCCGCAGCTGTCGGCGACTTCAAAGGCGCCCGGCCGCCGCCAGCGCACCGCTGGCAACACAGCCACGGGGTGGGGCTGGCTTCTGTCGTCGGCCTGGTGGGTTCGCACAGCCAGCGCCGCCAATAAAAAACGTCAGTTTGCGCGGCTAGTTAGCACCCGGGGAGGCGATTATTTGTACGCTGCCGTTTATCGTCGCTGCGTTTACAATAGCTCTCATTGCATTACACGTTTCAGCCGAGCCAAGTCAGCTCGATCCCGAGCCCAGCTGAGCTCGATGCCGTGGCGCCCGCCGGCTGGCTGTGCACCGGCGGCTGGCCAGTACCGGATGCGGTGGGAGACGGCTGTCTGCGGCTCGTGGCACGTGCACAAACAGCACGCACCCACACACAATACCGCTGTTAGTGCACCGGTGAACGTGATGTAAACCCACGAACGCCTCTCGATTTATGCGGGCACCGCTGGGAGACCAGCGCAGTGGACGCGTGTGCTCGATGCTGCTGGAGGTGAGGCTGGTGTTTATGCTGAGAGACGAGCAAACGTAAGGTTTCGACGAATGAACGAAGTGAGGTGGAGGCTTGAACGCTGGGCAGTATCTTCAGTACTTTGGTTGTTGTTCGCCACGATGCTGTCCGTCATCAACCGTTTACAGGGGCGCAACCAAGGGTGGGGGAGGCCCGGACCCCCATCGGGCCGGATTTTTCGTTTTTCACCATAAATGATTCCCATCAAAAAGAGTATGAAATAGGCATGATGCCTACTCGCAGAGGTCCCCCCCCCCTTAAATACATCCTGACTGTGCCCCTGACCGTCATATCTAGTGACATCCTCATGGTGGCCTCTGCTCAGAGAGCAAAGACCGAAACTGGAAGATGATCGGGCTTCGAACCGAGACTAATGGCAATTGACCGGAGCTGCAGAGGGCAATGCGACAAGCTAAAATAATGCGTGTGGTGTGCCGAAGAGAACAGGAATCTGACGC